TTTTCTCTTCATCTTGATTCTTGTAACGTCACTGATCTTCACTTTTGTACGACGTCTATCTTGCGAACTCGTTCCCGGATCCATCATCATGATTCTGCTACCACTTGTTGGGAAATTTAGTCTCTCCGTCTACTACAATATGCGCAACTTGGAAGCCAATCCGCAATCAGCAAGATAGAAAATAACCACAATCATGAATAAAAAATAAAGAACATCAAGATTTACGTGGTTCGGTTGATCAATTTCGACCTACATCCACGGGGCAACAATACGAGAAATCCACTACGTATTAGGAAGAATTACAAAAGGAATCACTCAACTCTCGTCTCTCAATCTCTCAACCTCACATATATAATCAACTCTCATATTCTTTACAAAGCCCTCTCCTTACAATCTTTTGAAGGGATAAAGACTATAAAACCCTCTCCTAATGATGTAATCTTTTGCACGGACAAAGACTACGAAACCTCGCCTCTTGCATAATATTCTTGAATTAGGCTACATCTTCTACTTACCCTAGATTACAAGAATATTAGCACTCTCCCATCTCCTTGATTTTTTATTTAACAATAAAAGAATATATATAGAGAAACCAAAACCCTATTTCTAGCCTAACTTCCTATTTAGAATAGGATTCAAACTCCTAATCATGACGTGACCCAATGTCCTAATAAATGATAGATCTCTTACCCAATCTAATTCTCATAAAATTATACAGAGAATCAAAGGCATAATCCCAACAATATGTTGGCGAAAAAGGGAAATGAGTTTTTTGTTCTATATAGGGTAAATGAATCGAGCACTTATAATATTGAATTCTTTTCAGAATAGCGGTGGGCATAAACCCCCGTGTTTCATTAATAAGAGTTCAACGAAACATTCCACACTTACAAAAACTGAATGTCTAGATTATGTTATCAACCCCAAGGTGCATCACTAACATAAGTTCTTTTATTGAAATGATCAAAAGTTGATGTTGGTTTTGTTGTGCTGACGGCGGCGCCGAGGAACCAAAACAAACGCCGATCCAAGAAGGCCAAAAACAACCAACGAGGAACCAAAACAAACGCCGATCCAAGAAGGCCAAAAACAACCAAATATCAATGCACAAACCAAACACCAATTTTAACGTGGTTCGGCAATTGCCTACGTCCACGGGGCAAGAAGGAGGAGGGTTTCCACTAATAGAGAAGGAGAGCACAAATTGAGATTACAAATCGCTCAAAGGAACCAACTAATTTCACCAACAAATCTCTCAACCTCTCAACCAATAACCCTAACAAATAGCTCAGAAAGATCTCTTTTTTTGTGCTCCAAAATCCCCCAAAACGCTCCTTCAAAACCCTCAAATCGTATTGGTATTTATACCAAAACAGAAACTCAAACAGACTGCAAATAGAAACCTGAACTTTCCAAAAAACCCGTCGTAAGTCGACTTATCAGTCTGCATAAGTCGACTTGGCAGAGCGAAAAACGACAACTGGAGAAGAGATCATAAGTCGACTTATCAGACCTGATAAGTCGACTTGCCAGAGCCCAAAATCAACAATCCAGAGCAGATCGTAAGTCGACTTACGACACAAACATAAGTCGACTTACCATAAGTCGACTTATGCCTGTGCATGAGTCGGTTTATGACCAAAAAACTGCTTTTTCCAAGTTCTCCTCCACAATTCTCCACATCGGCGAAGTTTTCCCAAAACTGAGCCGACACCAACCAAACAAATGCCTCACGTGTTGAGACCCAAATGGGAGTGCGAACACTCACCCCAAATGTCGATATCGCTCACCAAATCGGCTGCATCATAAAGACTGCCTACGTATCCTCTTGCCCAAAGAATCAAGCATTCACGTAGTTCACCCAAACGGCCTCCAAAGGCCCTCAAACAAATAGAAAAGTATGCAACTCTTCCCCAATATCGCCGACGGATCTGCAACTGATAGCGGCCCAAAAATCAAACACCTCTATCTAAGGTAAACCAATGGCCATATCCAAATCATGTCCGTCAGCTACAACCGAGTTCAAAACCAATCCATCATCTGCATCCGAAATCAAATGATCCCCAACCTGTGTCACCTCAGCTGGAATCCCAAATGACGCAGTATGATCTGGAGTACGTGGAGTAATCTCCACCCAACGTGGAGTAGCATCACTCTCCACCTGCTGCGATATCCAAACGATCTGATCAACACTCTCCACCTGCCGAGAGTCAAAAGTGACATACCTGCTCAGAACAAAATCAGAAGCTCCCAAACGATAATCAAATGAGCCTCCGAATCCTAAACGCGCAATCGGATTAAATCTCACATCCTCAATGTGACCAAATGCTGGGTATCCAAATATCCGATACAACCCAAAATCTGAATCAGCTCCACCAGATCCAATAACTCCTAATGCAGCAGTCGGCGACCTGTGACTAAGATGACCCAAATATATCGAAGCTCCAGAACCAATACTCGACAACCAACGCCGATCCTCCTCCAGAAAGGAACGACCTATCGAAACTATCATCTCATCTCGTCGCCCCAAAGTCTCCACACCAATGAAGTGCCTCCTATTGCCGTGAGCTCGGCACAAATGCAAGAAAGGACCCCTACCAAATCTAGAACAACGAGTTACCATTCTGTCAATACACTTCTTCCAATTGTTATTGACTTCTAGGACTTTACACCAACGGGAACTAGTCGCGACCCAATAATGCCTAGAACAATCACCAACTGCGGAAACTACAAAACGATTACCTCCCAATGATGCCTCCTTGGAAGGCCCCAAAATGCCTAACTGAACACCTCCTAAAAGACCCCTCGCTTGATGGATAGGAGTGCCAAACTCCACCACGGTCTTGCTCATCCCAATGTGCTCACAGGACTTCAATCTGCAGGTCATAGCACTCCTCAACAACCAATGCACGGCATTACCAATCATATACCCCAGCACCAAACAATGCCACAGTTTAGCCGAATCTGATGAAGTCGTCATCTCCTTATCAATCACCGTGCTTCCGTGCAAATAATATAAATTTCTCCTTCTGACGCCCTTCATCACAATCGTGGACCCAAATGTAACCTTCAAGCGTGCATCCGTCAAGGTCACCCTATAGCCTGTTGCCTTCAAAGCTCCAAGTGAAATGATGTTCTTCTTCAACTGAGGAACGAACCTCACTCCAACCAACTCCCGAATCACCCCGTCACTCATCCTGATCCGAACGGTACCGATACCACCAATAGAGCATTTGTGATCATTCCCCATAAGCACGGAATCCCCTCTTTCCAACTCCTAAAAGCTGGAGAACCAATCCCTCCTAGGGCAAATGTGGTATGTAGCCCCCGAATCCAATATCCACTCTGTAGAGTAGGCAACACAAACTGACGGCAGTGCAGATAACGAGTAGCCCGAAGAATCCGAATCTGAATCGTTGCCACTAGCCTTGACAACATTCGCCTCTGAAGCTTGAATAGCTTTTCCCTTATTCTTCCCGGCTCGATCAACTAACTTTGGGCAATCGGCTTTCCAATGTCCATCTTCTTTGCAAAAGGCACATTGATTCTTACGAACTCCAAGATGTGCCCCTCTAGACTGCGACCTCCCACTACGGTTTGGACCCTTTGCTCTTGCGACCAACGCCCCCGCTACCGGCTCAAACGAAGTCTCCTTATCCTTCTTTCGAAGCTGATAATTCACAAGTGCAGCGGTGACCTCACTATACGAAAGAGATGCCTTCCCATTAATAAGAGTAAGAACGAAGGTCTCATATTCCTCGTCAGGCAAGGAACTCAATAGCAACAACGCCTTGTCCTCATCTTCAATCTTAACATCCACATTCGCCAAATCCGCAAGAAGCTTCGTGTAGTGGTTCATGTGATCACCAATGGAGGTTCCTTTCTTCAACTGGAAGCGGTAAAGCCTCCTCTTCAAATGCAAGCGATTCTCCACACTCTTGGTCAAATACTTGCTCTCAAGGATCTCCCAAATCTTCTTTGCAGAAGTCTCATTGATCACATCATACTTTAGATCTTGAGTGAGACAAGACCTAATCACACCACACGCCGTTCGATTCATCTTTTTCCAAACCTTCTCATCAATGTTGTCCGGTTTCCCGTCCAACTCCAACGTATCTTCCAAATTTTGCGCGTTGAGCGCATCCATGACTTCGCATCGCCAAAGTCCAAAATTGTTTGTGCCATTGAACTTTTCCACGTCAATCTTCATCGAGTGGATATTCAAGCTTTGGACGGTCTTCACGCCGGAAGTACTGCCCACAACTCCTTCTTTCTCGGCCATAATCCTCAAAGCACCACCAAACCAATGCGGAAACAAACGAGAAATAGATCCAAACTGAAAAAGACGAGATTTTTACCAAAAAGATCCCACCTTTATCACCAAACGAAGCCCTAGATGAACTTCCAAAGCGATCTACTCCTCCAAATAGCCCAAGCGTAGCCCAAGCGTAGCCCGAGCTCTGATACCACTTGTTGTGCTGACGGCGGCGCCGAGGAACCAAAACAAACGCCGATCCAAGAAGGCCAAAAACAAACAAATATCAATGCACAAACCAAACACCAATTTTAACGTGGTTCGGCAATTGCCTACGTCCACGGGGCAAGAAGGGGGAGGGTTTCCACTAATAGAGAAGGAGAGCACAAATTGAGATTACAAATCGCTCAAAGGAACCAACTAATCTCACCAATAAATCTCTCAACCTCTCAACCAATAACCCTAACAAATAGCTCAGAAAGATCTCTCTTTTTGTGCTCCAAAATCCCCCAAAACGCTCCTTCAAAACCCTCAAATCGTATTGGTATTTATACCAAAACAGAAACCCAAACAGACTGCAAATAGGAACCTGAACTTTCCAAAAAACCCGTCGTAAGTCGACTTATCAGTCTGCATAAGTCGACTTGGCAGAGCGAAAAACGACAACTAGAGAAGAGATCATAAGTCGACTTATCAGACCTGATAAGTCGACTTGCCAGAGCCCAAAATCAACAATCCAGAGCAGATCGTAAGTCGATTTACGACACAAACATAAGTCGACTTACCATAAGTCGACTTATGCCTATGCATGAGTCGACTTATGACCAAAAAACTGCTTTTTCCAAGTTCTCCTCCACAGGTTTCACTTTATTAAGTAGTAGTTCTATTCAGTTAGGTATTTATTTTTTTATTTATTTGTAATTTGAAACAAAGAAAATGATTTAGAGTTAAATAAATAGGTTTTTATTTATTTATGTGTAATTTTCTCAAGATATATGACTTATGTTTAGAAGACAACCATCTATTGTCATAACCTTGGCAACCATCTATTGTCATAACCTTAGCTAATGGTTTGTGATTCTTCAAACTTCATTCTATTCAGACATTGTGGTCAATGGTGTTCTCCTCTAAGAGAATCTATCCTGTATCAAGATACTGATTAATATTCGTTTCAGGTAAAATCAGAATTTTAAGCTATAATATATATTGCAATGGACATCTCAGGTTACCTAACAGGATGAAAGCAATTGACAGACTTGTACAGAATTATCTCCCAGATATAATTTTGTTCCAGGTACGAGATCATCAAAGTAGCATTCCTATTATTTTCTTCAGAACGGGAGAAGTTCAGTACTGACTAATTTTTGATAAATAACTATATGTTTTTATTTTCAGGAAGTTACACCTGAGATCTATAAAATATTTGAGAAATGCAATTGGTGGGGGTTCTATAGATCTTCAGTTGAGCCAGAGAAGGCAACCAGAAAGTGTTTCTGCTTGGTGGTATTTCCCTTTTTTTTGTCCTATCCTAAGTTTGGTCTACATGAATTTTTTCCCCCTTTCAACTTCTCATCATATATCTATATTATTGATATATTTATATTTATATTATTGATATATTTATATTTATTTTTCAAGTGATACATATTTAGGAACAAATAAATAAATGTGGTACTTGGATCATGGGCTTGGCTTTAGTTTGTTGTGTTTTTGGTCTCTGCTTGATCTAATTTGGGAACACATGTTTTTAAACAAATAGATACTCTTCTCGTTCTTTCCTTTTTTTTAGCAGTTTAATCATCTTTGCTTGTTCTTTCTTTTATTTATGTTACTAGTTTTACACGTTTAGCCTGTTGGGTAAAGGAATTTTTTACTGTTTTCCTATAAACTTTATAGGATTACCCATTAGATAATGATAAAAGATTTGGTATATGGCTAAACTAAATGTAAGGGTCTAATCCCGGATTACCCATTAAGTAATGATAAAAGATTTGGTATATGGGCTAACTGTAAGGGTGAGAGCCTAATATCGCTGCGTGTAAATATTACTAATTCACACTCTGAAATCTGGTATAAAAACGTCACAATACGTTTTTCCATTTCTTTAGAATAATGTTTCCACATGTTTTCCTCTCAAAGAAATGACATTTCTAGATTTTTATTTGGTTAGCTTTTTTTTTATAATGTCATTTAAACCAAGTCTGACATTTAGGATTTTTATGCTCGTTTGATATATGGTGCCGCCCCCTAGTTTGTCTATTGCCTAGCTATATTTTACCTGTCTCGGTGATATTTTCTGTTTATAAGGTAATGGTATTTATATGTTCATGCCAAAATAAAAGATAGGAGAAGTTTGAATTTAATTTTTCTTTAATCCATGAACTTTGTGGACTAAATTTTAATATAAAAACTACTCTTAGGTTCACGAATGATGTCCTCTTAGATCTGCCTGCCTACTTTTCATAGATGAAAGTCTTATGAAACTTGCAACAGTTTAATAAAATTATTCTGGTGATAATTCCTGCAGTTGAGTAGGTTACAAGTGAAGAAATTCTTCTATAACCGCTTTGAAAACACGTGGAAGGGGCTTTCTGTAGCTAAGGTCGTAACCGCAGAAAAGAAGAAGTTGATTGTAGCAACTTGCCATCTCAAGAGGCCAACTCCTCCCGAAATGAACAGCATTGAGCGAGTAAGTCATGCAAAGCAGGCTCTCGACAGTGTCAAAAATGCAAGAAATGTAATAATTGGAGGTGACATGAATTGGAATGAGGATTCTGATGGGCCTTTTCCTTTGCTTGATCAGTGGAATGATGCTTGGCCTGTTCTTAGGCCTTCTGAAGATGGATGGACTTATGATACTGAGTCTAATGGGATGCTGCATCATAAGGGAGAACTGCAGAGGAGACTTGATAGGTTTGTTTGTAAACTGCAGGATTTCGATATGTTCAGCATTAAAAGGATAGGGATGGAGAAGATACATGGGGTTCGACATAGAATTAAGGGGACAAATCTACCTGTTTTTCCTAGTGATCACTATGGTCTACTTCTGACAATTTGCCCAAAGTAGTATTTATCTTAAGCTTTCGTTGTGTGTTCTGCATTCTCTATAGAGCTCCTAGATTTTTTAAATAGATTGTGATGTGTAATTGAAACAGTTGCTTATATTTCAAAAAGAATGAATTCACATTGCAGCATATTCATTTATTAGTATGCTCTTTCTTAGGCTACTTTTAGGAAGTTACTATTATTGTTTTAAGAGCAATTGCGGATAGAGCCCCTGTACTATTCCCAATTGTGGATGGACCACCTGTAGTTCTCTTGTTGCAGATAGACCCCTGGGTGAATAATTTTTGACTCTTTTACCCTTAGAGAGAAAATTGTTTCTTGACAAATAGACCTTCTGAGGTAAAAGAGTCCTTAGCTTTCACTTAGCAATTAAGTCTGCAATTGGCTGATGGTGTATGGGGTCCACTCGCAATCAACCCATGTTTTAAAGGCACCAACAACACGTAGCTCAATTGTAATATTGTGATCACCTATATCCGAGATTGTACTTTGTACTAATTCTAGTATGGCAATAGTATCAAGTGCACTCGGTTCCATCAACATTAAGTGTGCACCAAATGAATGTCAATCTTTGAATCATTGGATTTGGAGATTCATGTACAAATCCAAGAGTAGACAACTTGACATCCTTTGGGTGTATATTCATTGCTAAGTTAAAAGTTAGAAATGCCTTTTGGAAGTATTTAATATATTGAATTGCATATATATTTTAAGAGCTTATCATGCATACGTAAATGTTAACACTAGTTAGTTTGATTCCCAGCTGAAACACAAGAGGGGAAGTTCCCTAAATTGGGTGAGATATATGATGCTCATCAGTTAGAAGATCCAATGAAGATGAATATATTTCTACTTAACAAGCACAGATTTTGTGCGTATGGTGAATTCTTAGTGAAAAGTGTTGCGCGCAGCGGAAATTTCGGTAGCACTTCGGTAGCATAACAAGAGAGTCGGGTCGCAATAAGAATTCCCGTCTCACCAAGGAAACAAGAATCTGAAGCGAATATTTCAACAAAGTGAGATATCGGCTCTTCCTCTCATCAGTTCTAGGACTGACCTGTTGATGGATCCTAAAAAGCTATTACAAAATAGATTAGGAATCCTAAACCAAAATAGATTAGGAATCCAACAAAAAGAACTGTTGCCAGCTGAAGGTAAGAGGCACAATTAGTCCATGAATTTCTGACTACAATGACTGAAGGGGATTTTTGAGGGTTGTCGTCATCAATATCTTCAGGAATCCATCTTCACCCGTCGTTACCTCGTTCAGAACAATTTTCAGTGCAGAAATATTTGACAAGTACCACGAATTCATTTTTGCATACCTCAACATCCGGTTACAGTTTCATCCTATCATTGATTAGGTCTATGTCCATCAGGAGATTATTACTCCGATAGAGGAACATATCGAGAATCATTCTTCAACACTCTCCACTTAAAAATTCTATTTATTATGCTTGAGGCTGTATTCATTATGAGATCATTACGTCATAAATTCTTAGTTATATGGTCCTCATTTCTTGCTGGCCTCATGACTTGCGGCTGTTCTAAGTTCTAAACATCTTTAAAGCTAAGCAATCTGGTACTATTTACCTTAACAAAAATTAATTGATCCAAAATGAGTATAGCTCAATCTGAAATAAACTGGCTAGTTGATGATCTGAGTTTAAACATACATATTATAATATGTGGTTGTTTATTGATGCGACATAATTATGTACCAAAATTGCAAATGCACAATTGATCAAGTTATAGTATAAAAATATCGATCCCATGAGGAAGGTGATTTTAAGAGATTATTAGAAATGGTTCTTATGTTTTGTGCGTGACAATTAGGAATAAAGAATAAGTGTGAATGTGATGAGTGATTGTTGTGAATATATGCAAAAGATAATAAATTAAATTTTAGAGGAGAGAAGGAAGAATTAAAGAATAAATAAAATCACAAGGCAAGAAAGATGAATGAATAAAATCAAGAAATAAAACCAAGAATGAAAAGAAAATTTAAGAAAGTCAAGATGGAGGATTTAAAAGAGGTAAGAAATCTAGAATATAATCCACTAACCAACTTCAATTACAAAATATAAAGGATTTAAAAGAGGTAAGAAATCTAGAATATAATCCACTAACCAACTTCAATTACAAAATATAAACTATTATCTTTTTATCATATTTCAACTTAGATTTATTAAGTATAGATTATCAAACCATTTAAGGAAAGTATAACCCATCAAATTATCATCTAAGTCAAAATTACTATTCATGATAAGAACAATAACATGATAATAATCCTAGAATTCATAAGCATAACCTATCAAACCATTTAAGATAAGCATAGATTATCAAATTCTTCTTCTACCGATTAGTTCTCTAGTTGATTATCCTAAACATGAACATTTTAAATGCAAGAGAATAATTATTAAATGCAAGAAAATAAATCTATTCTACAAATTAAAGTGCAAAAAGAAATAAAAAGACAAGAAAATAAATCTACACTACAAGCATGAATTTAAATCTAACTAATAAGCAATAATAAAGAAATTACTAAAAAGAAATAAAAGAGAAAAGAAATGCAAACCTTCAAATTGCTCTTCATCTCCATCCTCATCATTCAACAAAGAGGAGAAAGAACAAATTTAAAGAGGAGAAAAATTATTATTATTAATTGCAACTAAAGTTATAATTTTTGGAAGGCCTTCTCAATTAAGAGTAGCCCTCCTCTCCAAAATGAGTTATAAAATTTTTCACACCCTAACCCCTCACTCTCTACCCCTATTTATAGTAATCATCAATGAATATGAGCTATTGGATTTGTCTTGAGCCCCAAACAAAGCAATCTCCACCTTTGAATTTGTTAGTGAAGAAATGGGTTGGAATTTGCTTTTTGTTCTTCTCTAGCCCAACATAGGAGGCCCATATGATTTTCAAAAATAAATGAAAATCAAGTTGGTCCATGAAGAGTTTCTGCAGCAATCAAGTCCGGCCCATATGGTGAAAATTCAACTTTTTGCATCCAAGTCCAATGTAAATAAACATCCAAAGCAACCGGTCCAATGGAAAAAATCAAAGCTGCAGCAAAGTCCGGTCCATAGCAACCATTTGATTTTCAAAACAGAAATTGAAGAGCTGCAGCAAAGTCCGGCCCATTTCATTTGATATTCAAAATAAAAAATGAAGAGCTGAGCTGCAGCAGCACATCCGGCCCAATTCAAATCCAGCAGTCCGGTCATATGCTTTTCAAAATGAAAATATAAATCTCTGCAGCAACCGGCCCATTTGGTATGTGAAATGATTTTTGACTTTTGGGCTTAATCTTCATTGTCTTCTCCTTGATTTTGTGGCTTCTTCTTGAACATAATGTGCAGCAAGATGGATTTAAGAATGAGTTTTGTTTCTTTTTTTCTTTTTCCTTTGGGCCATCATTTGCTTGATGAGCTTTCAACCTTTCAATCATGGGCTTCTAAAATGCTGCAAAATAGATAAGAGAGATTTTTAAGGGGTTTTTACATTTAATAATATTTATTTATATTTTTATTCATTTATGTGCAAACTAAGCTAACAACAATTATTAATGGTATATTTATTCATGTAAAATAGATAATGAGGATATAAAATTGTAATAAAAATATGATTATCATATCTGAAATAAACTGGCTAGTTGATGATCTGAGTTTAAACATACATATTATAATGGACAAATTTTTAAAAAAAGACCACTTTTTAATATTTATAAGCAAAATCGACCCCTTATAATTTTATTCAGTAAAATCGACCGCACGGGACTACTAGTCCCGTGCAGTTCTCTGTTCTCCCAAAATCCCCACCGACCTCCTCTCACCCTCCCAGCCCCTTCCCCACAGCGCACTTCTCTCACCCCTCAGACCCAAAAACCCACCCGACTACCACGCCCCCTCGACGGTTCCTCCCCTGCCTTCCCTGTCCCCCTCCCCCTCCAAGTCGCCTCCTCCAACTTGAACTCGGATGATAATCAAGAAACAAGAACCGCATCCGCGAGGCCCTCTCCTGACTTCGACTCGACTCGCCATCCGTCACGCCCGCGAAGATGCTCTCCCCCGCCCCCCCGCTCGCTCTGTCCTCCTCCTTAGTCGACGCTGTCTGCATTTCCACGGCTCCTTCCCCAAATCGCTCGCTCGCCTTCTCTCCGCCTCCATCGACAAGAACTACACCGCCTGGAAGGAAGGCAAGCCGGGGAATGTTCCCCGTGTGCTGCTCGTCGTCACCAAGTACGACGTGCTCCCGCCTTCAGTCTCGCCGCAGAGGCTAGAACCATGGTTGAAAAGGCAAATGGATGAGTCAGGTGGTTTTTTGAAGCTATCTGGAGTTCATCTTGTGAGTTCGGTGAAGGATTGGGGGTGAGGAATTTGGTGGAGAGCGTGAGGGAGATGGTGGGGAGTAGGGGGAATGTGTGGGCGGTTGGGGCTCAGAATGCTGGGAAATCTACGCTGATTAATGCGATGGCGAGGTTCGGTGGTGGTGGTGAGGGGAGGAGGGGGGAGTTGACAGAGGCACCGGTGCCAGGTGGGGGATTGGCGCAGGGGAGGAGGGAGGAGTGGGAGAGGGCGGATGAGGGAGGAGAGGGAGAGGGACTGGGAGGGGGAGAGGATGTCGTTGGGGGGAATTTGGGAGAACAGAGAACTGCACGGGACTAGTAGTCCCGTGCGGTCGATTTTGCTAAATAAAATTGGAAGCGGTCGATTTTGCTTATAAATATTAAAAAGTGGTCTTTTTTAAAAATTTGTCCTATTATAATATGTGGTTGTTTATCCTTCACATCTAGAGCCGCACTAACTAGTTCATCAAATCTGAATTTAGTGGCTGAGAATTAAATTAGAGGCCAATCACCTGATCTACTATCATGTCATGTTGCTATTAATTTTTGACAGGCAATCATTTATATGGGCAAGTCTAAACTTCATTTATATCTATATCTAAATCTATATCTATACTACTATAAAAAGAGGATTGGAGTGTTAAAACTTTTAATTTTCTTTTTTACCCTCTCAAATTTTGATAAAGTCCAACTATGTCATTATCTCTAATTAATCTTTCATTAAATAAATATAACCTCTTATTAATTATGCACTTCCTCACGTTTCTAAATAACTATGATTATCAATAATAGTATAACTATTAATTGTTTAAATAAATTAATTTATAAAATAATTATACAAAATTATTAGTGATAACCAATTAAATTATTATAATAATTATTTATGAATTATAATAAAATAATTAAAATAATAGTATAAATAGAATAATATATTACTAAATACTATTAAGAATTGTACTATAATTCAATAAGCAATAAAATAAATAGAATAAATTTTGAATCACATAAATAATGTAATTATTTTAATAATATCACATAAATTATGACTTACACCATTTATTAATTATTATATTGTTAAATAAATTAAATAAATAATTTAATATTATTTTTAGAGTATTTTCTAAAAGATTATTACCTGATACTGAATAATCTATACTTGGTAATGATTGAAAACTAACATTTTTACAAAAAAAAAAGTTAATATTAATAATAGTACTATTAATTGTTAATGATAGTATAATAAAAATTTATAAAATAATTTAGTACTAAATTTCTTAAGAGCATAATTATAAAAATTAAATTAGATAAATATGTTATAATATATAGACAATATAATTATTTTAATAGTATTACTTGAACTAAAAACTATAATATTAAATAAGGTAAATTACAGTAAACTTCTATGAACTTTCAGCATTTTGCAGAAAATAGACCCTATAAACTTTCGAAATCACACGAACCCCCTAATAGCTTTTTGTAGAAAGACTGCAATATCTTTTAGATAAATTACACCAAACCCCCAATAATTTTCAAAATACATTTTTATGCCATTTTCTAGTTCTAATTTATAGAGGTTATTTGCAAAATTTAGAAAGTTATTAGGGGTATTCTTTGAAATAGAAAAGTCATTAGGGATTTAGTATAATTTTAAAAGTTTATATGGGCTGAAAGTTCATAAGGGTTTAGTGTAATTTACCTTATTAATAATTATAATGAGAGTAACTATTATAATACATTATAGGTATCAAGCGTAACTATATACGGAGTATCAGGAGAAAGCTAGCAAGATTAATGTAACTTAGTTAATTTAGAGTTAAGTTAATAACTTTCAAGTTAGAGAGGTATATTTAAGAGAGAACGAAAAATTCTTCAAGGACCCAAAATATGAGACCAATAAGGGGGGCAAGTGAAGCGTCCCCCTCCTATTGGAAAATGAGTTGGCCATCATTAATGATGGTCAACTCATTATCCAATAGGATTGAGACACCTCACTTGTCCCCTTTATTGGTCCCATATTTTGGGTCCATGTAGCAAAGCTCTTAAGAGAACTTATAGAATCAACAGTTTTATTTAAGAACAATTTTAAATTTGGAGACTTATTTAAAAAAAAAGATTAACACTGGGCAATCATTATAAAAAAACATTTAGTTACAATAACAACATGATAATTAATTAATTAATACATTTCTGTTTAAGCAATATTATTATACGATTTTATTTATTAACACATAATTTTACTATTTAATAAAAATTTTAAAACTTAAAACATGTACGTTCACGTGCATTATACTAGTCTCATACAAATACATCAAGTAGATAGTTCATTTACATCATAGAATGTCACTGCATCCAATTTCAATAGTCTGGCATAACACAAACCTCACCAATAAACACGAGCAAAAAATTTCATTCGCAGATTATCACTTGTATCTATTAAAAATACAGATTACCATATCACAACAATAAACAGTGACAACGTTCAGAAAATAAAATCAACAACAACAATATCCATAAGGGAAAAATGCTTCCAGCCCCTAAAACCAAAAGAAACCTACCCTCCAAGACTTTTTCAACGGGCTCTTTACCCCCAAAAGTAAACTAATTATTCACTGAGCCCCCAAAACACAAAGCCAAAGAATTTTACACAGGTAAAGACTATAATACTCATTCTCTCTCTCTAACCATGCAATCCCTCTGCTCTCCGCCCTCCTTACCCCACCTCTCCACCCGTCGCCACCGCCACCCTCTTCCTGCCATCCTCGTCTCCTCCTCCGTCGTCCCCGCCCCCAAAACTAACCTTCGTTGCCGATTGATCCACCGTGTTGATCGTTCCTTTGCTGGCGATCCTCGCAACCTTCGCTGCCGATTTAACCTCCCTGCAACAAAGATTCAGCTCCTTGGAGCTCCCCAGGGACACTACCAACAGATCCTCCGTCCCGTCGGCGAAGGGAAACTCCCTCTTGTTAGTAAGCACGTGCGTGATTGCAGCCGCCGTCGGATTTCCCATCCCAAGCCCCCTTCCCATCGCTTTGATGTTTAGAAAACATAGAAAACATCAAAGCGATGTTAAAATTAGGCGAAAATGCTCCGTGAACCCAAATTCGTAAGATTAGAGACTTTCGTCATTTAACACTTTAAGATTAGAGACTTTTGTCAATGAAGTTTGAACATAGAAAAGTACTTCTGCTTTGCCTATTACCATTTAGCCTGGCCACACATCCACCACGAGCAAGGGAAATACTACGAATATAGAAAAGTTGGATAATGAACTTCCTTGTACGTTATACCATTCGTCCATGGTTCATGCTCAAAAATAAATAATTGATCCAAAATGATTGCAGTATACACCGATAAACAAATAAGCAATAGAAGGCATGATTTAACTAGGACAAAAGGAGTTTGTGTTTGCTTTCCTATGGGTTTACTGGAAAATTAACGAACTTAGAGCTGATATTATTTGCTGGAAGAGTTTCCCCTAATTTTAATAAAATTTTCAAAACCCAAGCGATTTACGTGTTGGTTGTTACTTGTTAAGGTTACGGGTTGATTGTTAAAGTTACGAGTTACTTGTTAAGGTTACGGGTTGCTTGCTAAGGTTACGCGTTGCTTGTTAATGAAATTTTCAAAAGCCAAGCGATTTACGTGTTGGTTGTTAAGGTTACGAGTTGCTTGTTAAGATTACGCGTTGCTTGTTAAGGTTACGCATTGGTTGTTAAGGTTATACACGTTGATTGTGAAGGTTACGAGTTGCTTGTTAAGGTTACGAGTTGCTTGTTAATTTTACGCATTAGTTGTTAAGGTTATACGCGTCGGTTGTTAAGGTTATACGCATTTGTTGTTAAGGTTACGTGTTGCTTGTTAAGTTTACGCGTTGGTTGTTAAGAGTATACGCGTCGGTTGTTAAGGTTATACGCGTTGATTGTTAAGATTACAGGTTGTTTGTTAAGGTTACAGGTTGCTAGTTAAGGTTAACCGTAACCTTAACAAGCAACCGGTAACCATACAACATAAATATTGTTCGGATTTTGCAAATTCTAAAACTTGAGTGTTTTTGCAATTTAGAGATTCAATATTCTAAAAATTTTCTTGAAACAAACACAATATATGAAATCCAAATATCCGAAAAAAAACTCAAAACTTTTTGAAATCCACCCCATATCCGAAAAATTTGCTTGAACCAAACACCTCAAGACTAAAGCTGTCTATCATGATCTTGATTCTTGAACATCTTAAAATCTTAAGCAAACATCTTAAATTTTCAATTGAAAGATGTTATTAAAATTAATTTTTTATTTTCATAAAATATAAACTATCATACAGTACAAATTTAGAAAATTACCTAGCATCTGTCGCAAACAAAGTCCTGCTCTAAAAAACCAAATCACACTCTAGTTTCGAATGAACAATTTTTCAAAACAGCCCCATTTAGAGTTTTTTTTTTAAAATCGACCGGTTTTTTTTTATTTATCAAAACCGACCCGATTTTGTGATTAGCAGCCTAATCACCTTCCTAAATAGTCGGGGTTGGCAACCCCGACTATTTAGGAGGGTATTAAACCCTAATTAGAGGTCTTAAACACTAAAAATTAAGGTCCTAAATAGTCGGGGTTGCCAACCCCGACTATTTAGGAAGGTAATTAGCCGATTAATCATAAAATCGGGTCGGTTTTGATAAATAAAAAAAAAACTGGTCGATTTAAAAAAAAAAACTCTAAATAGGGCTGTTTTGAAAAATTGTTCGTTTCGAATCAAGACCGGTCACTGTGGCCGGAACCAAGCTGGAATCCTTCTATTCCTTACTAACGAAGAAATGCACCCTTTCACCGAAACTTTACCGTACGTACCATTATTGCATCTGATCGGAGAAATGCACCCTTCCACCAAAACTTTGCCGTACGTAACACAGTTGCATCTAATCTGCGCGCGTCAAACTAGGAAAAACTGCCAGCTGTCAAGTAACGACTCAAAATCCCCTCGCGTTCCCATTTCCGCTGTTGCGTGCAGCTCACCTGATCGAAAGATGCCCCCCCGCCTTGACCCCTAAGTCGCCGACTGCGATTGGCACTCCCCTCTTCGTCTTTACTTTAAAGTGCGGGGGGTGAGAGAGAGAGAGAGAGGAGAAGAACGATCGAGAAGAAGAAGAAGGGAGAGAATGGGGAATTCAGGGAGCACAGCGATCAAGATAGCCGCCGTTGCAGGCGCTGCTCCTTTAGCAATCGGCGCTGCTGCTGTAGCAATCGGCGCTGCGTGGAGCTGTTATTCGTGGTTGGATGCGGTGGACCCAAAGCCCGAGGAATCGGCGGAGACGAAACCTCAAGGGCCTTATAAGTCGGAGTGGGTTGAGCGGGTTGAAGACTTATCGGATCTTGTACCCGGCAAGGGCGATGAGCTTCCCCGGGACCCAATAACAGACCGTGTGGGTCTTAGCCACCCAGGTGATCACTATATCATTCACTTGCTCTTATGGATTTATTTAACCCGGTTAATTCTTTGGATAAAAGGTCAAGTAAGCTAAATTATGTCGCTGACTGCAAGGTGTTGACCAAACGAAGATATTTTTCTAATACTCCAAGGTTGATTTTGGTTTTACTTTGTAATTAACTCGTAAAGTCTTTTGTTATAAGAGGGCGCGAACTCAGGTCTTTTGCAGCAATTGAAGAGCGATCTATTACGATGGTTTAGGCTGAGAGCACGTTAGGTGAAGAAAGTTTCAAACTTTCCTCTAATGGATTCAGTTAACCTCCAGTAGAGCTAGACAGTGGAGAGATCGTTGTCTCCTTCATAGATCAGGATAATGATCTTAGTGGTATTACGTACGGAATGAGTGAACGGTAACAGTGGATGCCATTGAACGGTAAAATTAAAGTAAGTTGGAGAAGGAGCACGTAAAGTTTCATCCTTCCTCTAATGGATCCGGTTAATATTCTACATCGCAACTTGAAAGTGGATACATCATATTCGGAATTCTTAAGAGGGTTGAATCATAACGGTCGATGTTATTCAAGTGTTATATTTAAGGAAGTTATCACATAATTTGCGGATGTGATAATAGAGAGTACGTAAGTTCATGTTGCTTGTTGGCGAAAATGGAAAAAATGAGTTTTTTGTTCTATATAGGGTAAATGAATGAAGCAGTTAAAATATCAAATGTTTTTTTTTTAGAATAACGGTGAGTATAAACCCCTGCATTTCATTAATAAGAGTTTAATGAAACAATCCGCACTCACTAAAACAGAATGCCTAGATTATGTTACCAATCCCAATATGATCACTAAATGAAGTACTTTTATTCAAATGATCAAAAGTTGATGTCGGTTTCACTTTATTAAGTAGTAATTTTATTATTTATTTTTTGTAATTTGAAACAAAGAAAATGATTTATCTACCGTACAAAGCTCTCTACTTCCTTGCAGGGACCCTTTGTTATTTTGTAACGAAATACTTGAAAGGAACGTCTTTGTATATTTTCTTCAAGATATATGACTTGTATTTTGAAGTCGACAATCTATTGTCATAAACTTAGACAATGGTTTGTGATTCTTCAAACCTACTTCATTCTATTCAGACATTTTGATCATTGATTCAAACCTACTTCATTCTATTCAGACATTTTGATCATTGATGATCTCCTTTAAGAGGATCTGTCCTGTATCAAGATGCTGATTAATATTCGTTTCAGGTGAAATCAGAATCCTCTGCTATAACATATGTGGCAATGGATATTTCAGGTTACCTAATAGGATGCAAGCAATTGACAAACTTATACAGAAGTATCTCCCAGCTATAATTTTGCTCCAGGTACGAGATCATCAAAATGGCATTTCTTTTTATTTTCTTTAGAACGGGAGAAGTTCAGTGCTATGTTTTTATTTTTCAGGAAGTTACACCTGAGATCTATAAAATATTTAAGAAATGCAGTTGGTGGGGGTCATATAGATCTTCAGTTGAGCCGGAGAAGGCAACCAGAAAGTGTTTCTGCTTGGTGGTATTGCCCTTTTTTTGTCCTAACCTAAGTTTGGCTTACGAGTAAATTCTTTTTTAATATTTATAATATATCTATATTATAAAAATTCTTTTCATAATATATCTATTTTATTGATATATTTATCTTTATAACTCAACTGATACTTCGCTAAGAACAAATAAATAAATGTGGAATTGCCCTTTTTTGTCCTAACCTAAGTTTGGCTTACAAGTAAATACTTTTCATAATATATCTATATTATTGATATATTTATCTTTATACTCAACTGATACTCCGTTAGGAACAAATAAATAAATGTGGAACGTGGATCACGGGATTGGCTTTAGCTTGTGTTTTCAGTCTTTGCTTGATCTTATTCCAAAACATATGTTTTTAAACAAATAGATAGTGTTCTGATTCTTTACTTTTTTTTAGTAGTTCAACCATCTCTGCATGTTTTCTTTCTTTTATTTATTTTACTAGTTTTACATGTTTAGCCTGTAAGGTAAAGAAATTTTTTACTGTTGTCCTATAAAGTCTATAGATTACCCATTAGATAATGATAAAAGATTTGGTATGTGGGCTAAAAATAAGGGTGAGACCCTTATTCCGCCAGTGACTGCATGTAAATATACCTAGCTAACACTCAAATCTGGTATTAAACGTTCACAGTATGTTTTCCCATTTCTTTAGTGTAATGTATCTAGATGTTTTCCTCTCAAAGAAGTGACATTTCTAGATTTTTATTTGATTAGATTTTCTTTGATAATGTCATTTAAACCAAGTCCATCAATTAGGATTTTTATGCTTGTTTGTTATGTGTGGTGCCACCTCTTAATTTGTCTAATGCCTAACTGTATTTTACCTGTCTTGGTGATATTTTCTATTCATAAGGTAATGACATATGTTCATAATGCTAAAATGAAGGAGAGAAAAAAGTTGGAATTTAATTTTACATTGATCCATGAGCTTTGTCGACTTAAATTTTGATAGAAAAACTGCTCTTAGGTTCACAAATGATGTCCTCTGAGATCTGCCTGCCTACTACATAGATGAATGTCATATGAAATTTGTGACAGTTCAATAAAATTATTCTGGTGATAATTCTTGCAGTTGAGTATGTTACCAGTGAAGAAATTCTTCTATAGCCACTTTAAAAACACATGTAAGGGGCTTTCTGCAGCTTACATTATAACTGCAGAAAGGAAGAAGTTGATCATAGCAACTTGCCATCTCAAGAGGCCAACTCCTCCCGAAATGAACAGCATCGAGCGAGTGAGTCAGGCAAAAGAGGCTCTTGACAGGGTCAAAAGTGCAAAAAATGTAATAATTGGAGGTGATATGAACTGGAATGAGGATTCTGATGGGGATTTTCCTTTGCTTGATCAGTGGAATGATGCTTGGTCTGTTCTTAGGCCTGATGAAGATGGATGGACTTATGATACTGAATCTAACGGGATGCTGCATCATAAGGGAGAACTGCAGAGGAGACTTGATAGGTTTGTTTGTAAACTGCAGGATTTCGAGATGCTCAGCATTAAAAGGATAGGGATGGAGAAGATACATGGGGTTCGATATAAAATTAAGGGGGCAAATGTCCCTGTTTTTCCTAGCGATCACTATGGTCTACTTCTGACAATTTGTGCAAAGTAGCATGTATCTTAGGTTTTTGTTGTGTGTTCTGCATTCTCTATAGAGAATTCCTAGAATTTTGAAATAGATTGTCACGTGCAATTAAGCCAGTTGCTTTATTTTAAATAGAATGAATTCAGATTGCAGCATATTCATTTATTAGTTTGCTTTCTCTTAGGATTGTTCCTACTTTTTGGAAGTTAATATGATTGTTTTAAGGGAAAAATTGCAAAATAGACCGTTTTGCTAAATAATTAGCAAAATAGACCTTTTTTTGGCCAACAGGCCAAAAAGAGGTCTATTTTGCAAAACAGCTCAGAAAACATACGGGAGTAGTAGTCCCGTATGTTTTAATCACGGATTAGTGAAATTTTCTACTCAGAAAACATATGGGACTACTAGTCCCGTATGTTTTCTGAGTCACTAATCCATGATTAGTTGGCTCTAAACATACGGGGCTAGTAGTCCCGAATGTTTTCTGAGCCTTGTTTTTCAAAATCGACCTCTTTTTTCAAAAGAGGTCTATTTTGCTAATTATTTTTCAAAGTGGTAGCCTTGTTTTTCAAAATCGACCTCTTTTTTCAAAAGAGGTCTATTTTGCTAATTATTTTTCAAAGTGGTCTATTTCGCTATATATTTCATAAAAGAGGTCTATTTTGCTAATTATTTTTCAAAGTGGTCTATTTCGCTATATATTTCATAAAAATGGTCTATTAATCGTAGATAGAGCCCCTGTACTACTGCCTGATTGCTGATTGACCACTGTAATTCTCATGTTGTAGATAGACCTCTGGGTGAATAATTTTTTAGTCATTTACCCAAAGAGAGAAATTCGTTTTTCGACATATGACCATCTGAGGGTTAAAGATTTGAGAAATTATCACTCAGGGAACCTCTCCACGATTGGCCTGATAGTGTAGGGGGTCTATCCACAATGAACCCTTGTTTTAGAGGCACGTGGCTCAATGGTAATATAGTGATCACCTTTATCCGAGACCCTACTTAGTGAGAAAGTGTCCAGTAGTAGGACGGTCTGTGGCGTTAAATGTGCACCTAAAGAATATCAACCATTGAATCATTAACTTTATGATTTGTGCATTGATCCAATGGTTGATATTTCTTGAGTGCACATTTAATGCCATGGACTTCTACTTAGTGTTGATTCTAGGAGGGCCAACTTGCATATTGTTATTTGTTGAAGCTAGAAATGCCTCTTGGAAGTATGTTCAACATTATTTAGACCGGCATACGCATTTTAAGAGCTTATCATGCATGTATAAATGTTTACATTAATCAGTTTGATTCTCAGGCTTTCAGCTGCAATACAAGATGGGAAAGTTCCCGACATTGGTTGAGTTGTATGATGCTGGTCTGTTAAGATTCAATAAAGATGGATACATTCTATTCAACATGCATAGGATTTGCGTGTAGGGTGAATTTTCAGTTAAAAGAACTGTTGCCAGCTGAAGGTAAGAGTCGTACATTTAGTCCATGTATTTCCGAGTACATTGACTGAAGGAGATTTTTGAGTCTTAGTCGTCGTCTATATCTTCAAGAATCTACCCTCACCGTACCTCCTTTTGAACAATTTTCAGTGCAGAAATGTTTGACAAGTATCACGAATTCATTTTCGTATGCCTCGACCTCAGGTTCCAGTATAATTCCTATCGATTGAGCTATATTTTTTTTTACGGGTCTGGCACTATTTATGTTAACAAAAATTAAAATCCAAAAGAATTCTCAACTTGAAATAAACTGAAAAGGTAATTCATCATGGCTAGTTGATGATATGAGCTTAAACCAATATATTATATGTGGTTGTTAATCCTTCACATCTTGGACTGCACTAACTAGTTTGTCGAATCTGAATCCATTGGCTCAGAGCTGAATTAGAGGTCCATCACCTGATCTATTTTCATTTCTTGTTTCTATTAATTTTTGGCAGGCAATCATTTATAGCAGCACGTCTAAACTTCACCTCATACAAATACAAGTAGCTAATTCATTTACATCATAGAATGTCACTGCGTCCTTCAATAGTCTGCCATAACACGAAGTATGCCAAGAACAAAAAATAAGTTCATTCACAGACTATTGCCTGTATCTACTAAAAGTGCAGATTATCATATCACAACAATATTTAGTGACAATGTTCAAAAATACAATCACCAACAGCAACATTCATAAACTATCTGTGAAAGCTCTAACCTTGTGAATCTATACATAACATTGGCTGCGCAGAGCTAACTTGAGGTATACAATTATATTCAACACAACAGAACCTGCTAAAAATTCGGAAAACTAGTAACTGCTAACAAATGCCCTTTCTCTTTGTTCCTTAAAATAAAGATGTTTAATTATTGAACTATGTACAGCTCTCTCTCCCTGTAAAAATACAGTCAGATGCCAGCTAATACAGACCTTTGCCACATTTTAGCACTTTGTCAAAATGTCGGCGCCTGTCCTAGTAATCAATAGTGTATGCTCACATTGTGCAGCAAGGCTGCCATCCGCTGTAAGAGTAGTCCATCCATCATCCCATGTAACGCACTCGATGGTTCCCAGGGTAAGAATAGGTTCTGCATTAGATGAATCAAGACAATGTCAGAACTTACTTCATAATGTTATATTAACAAAGCCTATGATGATATTTGAAACATGCATCAAAAGGGTCGTACCGATGGTAAAGGTTTGGCCTTCAACCATACGGCCAGGTCCATCATTACCTGTGAAATAGACCAACATCATTAACAGCTTTCTTCGAAAACTATCATACTCGTTTCAATTAAATGGCGCTTGAAGAAGAGAGTTTTTTATTCCTAATTTTCACATGCTATTTTCTTGCTATGATTAATCAATCATAAATATATCAGGAGCTGTGTATGTCAGCTTGGCATGTCAATTGAGCTCAAGCCGTAGCTTGATATGTTAAACATACAGTGATGAGCTCGAACTTTCTATTATTATACAATACGTGCTGTTATTTAAATTCATACCCATACTTGTTCGAAGCAAAAAAGAGTTGCACCATTAAGATTTCAGATGATAACTGTATTGAGCATAGTTTTCATTTTGTTTAAGATTGCAGCACATGATGAACTTCGACTTGCTACAGAAATAAGTTGGCATTTATATATTTCCAAGAGGAACATAATTTATGATGTCAGGTCCAATGTTTTAAAAATAGGCCAATTTTATTGATTTATCCCCGATATATATGGTTTGGGCTATGGCCGATACGATTTTTACAAAAATATATCGCATATAGTTTTCAGCTAATTTTTCCTGATATATCAGTGTAAATCCGATAAAGCGGAATCACCCAATTTTCTACAATTTACATTCTAAGTGAACTGGTTCGCGTTTGGAGACAAAAAAAAAACCTTTTTTTCATATTCGACCCACACACACTAAACAAAAACAATATTATTCTATTCTATTTCACTTCCACTAAACAAAAGTAATCGGTAAGTGATCCTAAACATGTGTTGTTTACGTATTAGTATGTTTATGTTTCATTAAATATGCTTAGATTACTTTTTAAGACATTATATTATATATGCTCACCATCCAATGTAACACTCCGATTTTTACTACTAATCCCCGATATATCCCGATAACCAGGATCCGATATGAGTTTTGGTCATCCGATATATTTTCGATAACCGATATTTAAAACATTGGTCAAGTCAGACTGTGTAATGGAGCACAAAGTTATTTCCGTTATTGTTAGAATGTCAAGCCAGCCCTGCATACATTCTTAGCTTGCACCCATTAGCTTACTTTAGGATCAAGAAGTTCCTAACATGGTACTTTGCAACACATCTCAAGCAGTCTTGGTAACACGACATTGTAAATGTTAAATGTGTATCTTTAACCCCATTACTTTGTCTTTCCAAGCAACTAAGACATACACTGAGGCTTTTCTGTATAGACCAAAGACCCAAGTGAAAGAGAGTACTGAGTTTGCCTGACATACACTGTTTTGTCAAGAAACTAGTACCTTATGCTTTTGGATAAAGTCAGTTCTGACAAGTATGTTGATTTTGACAACAAAAAGACGTACACAGCAAGGAATTTTGGTGTCTTACAAGAGCTAAGAAAACAGACTACGAAGAATACTTACGATTATGCATGACGATTGGTTCAGAGTGAAATACAGTCCCAACACCATGGCCAACAAAACGCTCCACCACACCAAACCCAAACCTTTCAGCATGTTCACTGGATTTGACAATCAGCTTATAAATTCAATTGATCGAATATAATCATTAAAAAGTGGAAATGATAATATTCAAATGGATAAAAGATTAAAAAAATAATTGAAGCATGGGTAGAAATTCACCACCATAGTACACTCCATATTAATAATATAATAAATTTACTAGATTTCATTGACCATAACCATTAGGAGATAGAAGGCATAATTTTATAAAATTATGTCCCTGTCTATGACACGGCATCTAGAATGGACTATTCCCAGTGCGTCGTTACATTACCCATGATTTTTGTTTTAATTTTTCTATGATTTAGGAGTCCTTCAAGGATTGGGATAAAGCATCACCAATCTTCTCTCAGGCCAATGGATGGTAGAGGTGATAAGTGCACAGATATCCTGGTGAATCTGATCAGAATTTGAACCCAGTTCAACGAAGGGAATGGAAGCAGACTCGAGTTCTAGATACCATGGAAACTTCTATGAAGCTGTATCCCAGTAAAACGCTTATTAGATGGAACATATACTACTGAGAAGACGATGTCCAATCATGATGTATAACATCTATAAGCCTACAACATAAATTTTTTTTGAAATACTTTCCAAATTCCTGGTTATGTGATGTTGCCATATACAAAGTGCACTAAGATTAAAACTCATACCAGTGGCCTGAACGTATCTGAGCGACACGCCTAATCAGCATTTCACTAATGAAGTAACATGGTTTTCTCATTTTCAGCAAGGACAAGTGAGAAATGTGAAAGAATTGCGAAGAAAAATGACATACAAAACTTCATTAGTTTCAGACGCCGTGTGCACATACGTGTGCAGACACACACACACACAATCACAAAAACACCACACAACACAAGGATGTAGGGAGTGAGGGAGAACCAGAGCTAGATACCTTATCCTCTTGCCAATCTTCTTGAAACTAGCACCATCTTTGCAGACAGAAATAGCCCTTTCCAAGCATTCTTCAGTGACCTGAATATATAATCACATGGGAAGACATTGATGTCCTATGTTTCAACCTAAAGATGCAACTGCATATCAAACTAAAAGAATATGTATTTAGTAGGCGTATATCAACGACATAAGTACTATGCTATTTATTTATCTCCAGTTGTATGAAATCAACACCACTTGAAATGTTTCAGCTATAAGAGGGATGAAGAAAGAAAAGCAGAAGGATATGGAACACATCTCTCTGCCTAGACAAAGCATAAAAGCTGCTAATGAACTATGAATCCACAACAGATAGAGGAACATTATTGTGTAAATGGAATTATTACAATACCCATTACCTGAGTAGCATACTAACCTACTAATATCTGAACTAGACTTCTACTGCCAGAATGATGTTAACAATTTCAGATGTGTGAACCAATTTTACTTTCTAAGATTGCATTCGACTGAGTTTTTCAAATATAGGATCTTACAACATAAATTTAAGGGTTTGGTAATCAATGTGTTTTTTTTTTGTTTTTTTTTTGTAAAAAACACCATGCCATGTTCAATGTGTTTTGAAAACACCATTTTGGTCAAACTAGTTTGACCATTTATATAGCGACAGTGGGCGGGCGGCGGCGGGCGGGTG